AATTTATTGTAGAGATGAGGTCTCGCCAAGTTGCCCAGGTGGGTCTCAAACCCACGGGCTCAGGCAATTCACTCACCTCAGCCTCCCGAAGCACGGGATTACAGGCTGAGCCACCGAGCCCGGCCCTAAAACTAAGATCTTAACAGGTTAAGTGACTTACCCAAATGATCAGGATGAATAAATGAGAGAATAAATGCCAGTTCAGGGAAGTGAAGAAATCTGTATTCACTGCCATGTGTCTAGCCTATGGCCAAGGACACCTCCTTTGCTGCCCAGCTTCCTTGGCCCTTGGCTCTCTGGAGAGAGATTTTCTCTGCTCTGTAACCTGTTATCCCCTTTTCTCTCTAGGTGGGCTATCAAGCAGGAAGCAATGGCCAGCCCCTTCCTTCGCAGTACATGAATGACCTGGACAGCGCCCTGGTGCCAGTGATCCATGGAGGGGCATGCCAGCTCAGTGAGGGCCCTGTCGTCATGGAGCTCATCTTTTATATTCTGGAGAACATCGCATAGACAGAAGACTTCACTTTTTTCTGTTCAGACCTGTGACAACAGTCATACCCAAATCATTTGCACTTTAAAACTGGAAGATTAAGCTTTTGTTAACACTATTAACGGGAGGGGGGGCGGAAGAGGGTGGGAGTGGGGGTTTGGGAGACAGGGGTGGGAAAGGTGGTTGGGGGACAGATGTTCCGTAATTCTGAGTCTTCTATGCATTGTCCACAAAGAAGATCTGGGCAGCTTCCGTTACTGCACAAGTTACGCTATCCCTGCAGCTAATCCCCTTCTGTTACCATTTAGACAAAATCCCGCTCCTCTCTTTTAAGATTTACTTATGGTCATGTGCTCAGAAATGCTCAAATGGGTACAACCATCACCAAGGGTGGGGTGGGAGGGCAGAGGAGAAATAAAAAATGAAGCATCAGTTCTTGCACTCGTTGACAGAATTGGTATAAAGAGAATTCACGCTAATCTTGTCCCCGTTACATCAGTTGTTTGTTAAGGAGAAGACATACTTAATTTTGCTTGTTTTTACCAGATTATTCTTTGAAGTACATCAAAGACTCAAGGGTTCAATCTACTCTTCTAGTTATGGGAAGGCAACTCAGTGAACATGAGGTTATTTGGAGAGCAGAGCTGAGTTCGGGATTGCCTGAGATATGCCGAGTGAATGGCGGGTATGAAACCGGGCATATCTGTGAAAGCTGACAGAATACACCTAAGACGTTTTTAGTTGTAAAAAAATAAGCCAGGCCTGGTGGCTTAGCATGTAATCCCAGCGCCTTGGGAGGCTGAGGTGAGTGGATTGCCTGAGCCCACAGGTCGAGACTCACCTGGGGAACTTGGTGAGACCTCATCTCTACAATAAATCAAAAAATCAGCCAGGCATGGTAGCGCGTGCCTGTAATTCCGGCTACTCGGGAGGCTGAGGCGGAAGGATCGCCGGAGCCCAGCAGGTCGAGGCTGTGGTGGCCGGGAGCGGCCACTGCACTCCGGTCTGGGCAACAAGTGAGACTCCAACTCAAAAAAAAAAAAAAAAACCAAAAACATTTCATTAAGAAATAATTTAAGTGTCAGGAAAGTTGCAAGTAGAAAAGTCACCATGTACACTGTGCCCGTACACTGTGCCCTATTCACATATTAACATTCTGGCCCATTTGATTTATCAGTGTTTCTCCATAAAAAATTAAGGCCTTTGAGGGTAAGTTGTATACATCATAGCCTTTTACCCGTAAATACTCTACTTTATTTCCTAAAAATAAGGACATTCTCTTATGTAACAAGACAGTTCATTGATATGATACTTTACCTTAGCATCTGCCCAAGAATGTTCTTTGTAGCATTTTTCTCCTGGAGTAAACCTACCAACCTAGGATGACATGGCATATAGCTATCATGACTTTCCTTAATCTTAGCACATTTCAGACAAGCAATCTGCTTAACACTGCATCTGGAATTAGCAAGTCTGTGATGATGGTTTCTATTTTAACAGTAATGCTTATATATCTCTCTTTTTTTTTTTTTTTTTTTGAGTTGGAGTCTCACTCTTGCCCAGGCTGGAGGGCAGTGGCATGCTCCTGGCCACCGCGGCCTCAACCTGCTGGGCTCAGGTGATCCTTCCGCTTCAGCCTTCCAAGTAGCTGGAACTACAGGCATGAACCACCATGCCTGGCTAATTTTTTGA